TCATTTGGAATGCGAGGAATAGGTAGGTCTTCGAGAATGAATTTCAACCTTCGAGGCTCGTGGTACGTAAGATCAAAACTCATGTTTATCGCACTATATTTGCAATGTATCCGAATGTACTTGTCGAGTTTGAGAGGAAAAGTCTTGGGCTTGGATAGGCTTTTCTCTTGGGCATGTGGTTACCCTAGTCGTATTATTATTCGCGAGTGAGGAACCGAGCTCGTGGTTGCCTGCTACAATTTTTTATGTCGATTATCAGTTGTCTGAACCACAGTTTTGATCTATAAATTTACTTTTAACGATAAAAAAAATATCGGCCAAAATAAATAAATAAATATTGCGCTTGATCCTCCGTTAGCTACAGGGATCACCAATGAACTCCCAAAACCTTGAGTAGCAAGAGTTAGGGTCACTGGGGTTTGAGAAGGTCCGGAGAAGCCTGGAAGAGAGCCAACTCTGAACGGCCTTGTCGTCGTCCATGCATCGCCGAACGATGGCTGCAAAAATTTCCTTGGAACTTCCTCCACCATGGATGGAACACAGGTGTAACGCCCCATTTTTATTAATAAAGGAAAGATACTAGCTTTTACATATAAGCTAGCCTTTGTTAATAAATATTCATGTTAATGTTTAAGTTTAAGTTATTCAGCTAGTTAAGTTCGAAGTTCGACGTTGAGTCGAAAACATATTCGATTAATTTTATTAACCGGGTTAATTCTAGTAATTACTCTCAGTTCATTTATTTTTTTAAATGGACATAGTAAATTCGGGATTAATTAATCTAGTATTGACGTATTGATCAAAATTGGGAATATTCGATTAATAGTCAAAGATGAGTTTCGAGCCCAGTTAATAAGTTATTCAAAAATAAGTTCGACTTTAAGTCGAAAATCTATTCGGTTTAATTTATTTTCAATAACCGAGTTAATTCCGATAATTAGTTCCCGAAATGTTTATTTTTATAAACGAATATTATTAGTCGGGATTAATTATTGGAAATCAAGATTATTCGAATTAATTTTCGAAGTCAAGTTTTAACTGAAAATGAGTAAATTCGGTTTAAGTTGTCATGTGTACATATCATCCCTATACATCGACGCGTTCACATTGGTACACCGTCCACTTAGGCCGAGTGCACGCCCTCCGCTACCTATGCGCACGCCACCATCGTAGCGCAAGTACCGTGCATGTGCACGGTCCACTTAGGCCGAGTGCACGCCCTCCGCTACCTATGCGCACGCCACCATCGTAGCGCAAGTACCGTGCGTGTGCGCACCGTGCGCCTAGCCACCATCTACAGTTATCTTATGTTAAGATAAGTGCAATGATCATGTCTAAGTAACCCATGCATTAGTACTAAGTAACTGTCGAGAGATAAGCTTGGTGAGAGTTTAATATTCCCACTTGCAAAGCCTTGTCACCTAGTAGCTTGTCACATGGCATGATGAGGGCCTTCAGGGATGACTCGGCACGCCCCTTCGCGCCACCTCGGACGATGACTAAGCCGAGCAAATGCCACGGAAGCACACATTCTTGAAAAGTGTTACCACCTCAATTGTCATTAAATTTTACCATTTACCATCAATAACCTATTTAAGAAGCTTTAAGGGCGTGAGTTTCATTTTATTGTGTGTTCCCGAGCAAAACCGAACATAAGTCGAGAAAAGAGAGAAAAACCGTGAGCAAAGATAAGAAAATATCGAGAATTTAAGTATAGAAGGGAGAAGATAGCATATGCCCTAGCCATTGTCGAAGGAGGCGCGCATTACCGAACAAGCCGCACGCAAGTCATAGCCCGTTCCACGAGCGATCAGAAGGGTACTTTCATATCAACTCTCTTTTAGCTATTTTATGTCCATATTAGCAAGATCATGCGTAAGTCATATTGTTCGGTCCATGTTTTAAGTCATTTCATGTCATGTTATGTTCAGCCATATAAGGTTTGCCGGAAAAAGTTGTCGGACGGCCGGCGAGGTGCCGACCATA